AAAAAAAAAAAAAGAATTTTTTCTCAGCAGTTGAAATGGTTTCTATATATTTGTTTATATCTCTTTTTTTCCTTCTCTTTTTTTCCTCTTTCACTTTTTATAGTCAGGTCAGTAAATCGGGGAAAAAAAGACTGAAAAGTGTATACATTTAAGTGAACATAAACACATTAAGCATTTTAGGCTACATTATTTTTTTTTTTACCAAGTTGCCAGGAAAGTTAAACTTGGTTAAATTTTATCTTTCAACTGCTTCTCGTCATCTTTTGATTCTTTTTTTTTGCCGCTGTTGCTACTGGCTAACTGCTAATACCTTTTGGTAAAAAAGTTTTTGCTAAACTGTCTTAAGGTTTCACATTATGGCGATGCGGTTCTGATTCCCGCAGAGCATGGCTGATTCCACTTGAACGATAATTTAAAGGCTTGATTAGGCACCATTAACCCACATAGAGCCTTCATTCATTTTAAAGAAATTTTTTTATCTGTAATTATTTAGGTAGACAATTACTCTTAACGACAAACGGTTTTTTCTTGTTTTTTTTTTTCTTGTAAATCGGCTGTGGTTTTTGGTGGGCAGTATCTTAACATTATTCCGGATTACTCTGAATCATTGGCTTTTTATGTTTGCTTTATTTCTAACCTATGGTCTACAGAATTTGGTGTAAGAATATGGCAAAATTTGCTGGGGTGTGTGAACACGTAAATTTATTATTTTTGAATTAATCTTAAAATATTTGTTTGCTATCAACTCTGTTTCAGTTTCACAAACAAGTCTTAGTCTGCATAAGATTAGAAAGACTGCAAGGCTGAGTTATAGCCTTGTGAAGTCATTAATAAATTATTGTCCTTGACTCATTCATTTTACTCACTTGTTAAAGGCACCCATAAAATAGTAATATTTGATAAAGGATTATACTAAAGTGATGTTCACACAGTTGAAGTAATCGTGGTATAGTCAAGCCTAAGATGTATCTGGTATTTCAGTTGTAATATCGGACGTGTTCAGATGTGCATTAAAGGCGATGAAAAAACCGAAGTGCAGGAGAAACCGCAGAAGACGGTTGATAAGCTCGTCAAAGTAAGTTTCAAGTTTTGCAGGTATTTGATCGAAACATCAGTTTACAATTCTTGCAAGATTCATTTCATTCAAAAGCAATGTCTACCTTTTATTTTTTACTCTTATTACGTTCAGGACTTTAGAGAACCTGTCAATTAACATTAAAATTCAGGGTCGTTCACCACTGTGGATTCGAATTATAATCTTTATTATCCAAGTTTGGTTTTTCATTTATGATTATATTAACTATATACCTTTTGAACTTTTTTCGCCGCCGATGGAGAAGTTGAGGAAAAGTGCTCGCGTTAAGGTACACAAACTTATTTTCAATTGCTGAAAATGCTTTTTTTAGTACTTTAGGTCGATTAATATAAGCTGTTTAACTTTAGAAATTTGGTGTTCCACTAGTACCTCTGGTTTACTTGCAAAAACAGTTATTTAGACTGGTTTTAAAACGCATTTCATTGGATTGTTTTATGTTTTGAACAAAAAGGGAAATCTTTTTGATAGGTTTTACTTCCAAGAAAATCACTGTTGGTCGGCAATTAATGTTATTCAGGCTCGCTCTCTGAAGGGTCCAGGCGGACCGTGGAGGCATGTAACTGGCATCCGGAACGAAACATACCCTGGAAAGAATACCATCGACAAGCTGTTTGCCCATGTTACTTCGTTGTATCATAATCGACCGATGCTGGGAACTAGAGAAATCTTGTCGATTCATGAAGAAACGCAACCTGACGGACGAATTTTCGAAAAAGTAATGTTTTGAAAAAAGGTTTTTTTATTAATAGCACTGAGAAGTCGTGCAACTTTCTACATTAGCTTTATCTGCTGATTATTGACTTAGTGCAAGTTTCGGCTTATGAAGACTATTTTAGTGGGGAATGGGTGTTTATAGTTGGCAAACCTATGGAGAAGTTCATCGTAGGGTCGGATATTTGGCTGCTGGTCTGAGGGAACTGGCTGATAAGGATGCTAAAGTGAGTTATTTCAGAAACTTGGTCTGTCGTCTGAGTTTGACATTTTTGGTCTTCGAGATCAGATTTAAACCTTTTGCTATGAACTGTAAAGGGACATCAATTTCAGTTACTCATTTTTGCCGAAACTAGAGCAGATTGGTTGATTACTGCATTTGCTTGCTTTAGAGCCAATATAGTTGTCGTTACGGCGTATGCTACTCTTGGAGAAGAGGTTTAATAATTGTCTATTGGTGATATATATATATATTACTTATGTTTCGTTATTGGCAGTTCAGTTCCTAATTGGTATTCGATCAAAAATTTGTCCTCATCGATTTACCAAATGGTTGAAGTAACTTTCATGAAAATTTTTTCAGGCGATAATAGGTGCTATTAATGAAACTGAAGCTACTATGGTTGTCACTTCAGCAGAAATATTACCGAAATTTACAAAAGCTGTTGACAGGTGCCCTGCTGTAAAAACCATGATCTATTTTCCAGTTCGCCACAAATCTACAAGACTGTGCGATTTGACAATATTTGAGTCCAGATTACAGCATGTGTTATCATTTGAAAAACTTGAAAATATGTGCGCATTTCCTTTGGGTTAGTGGCGCTATAAAATACCTTGTTTCTTCCTCATACTGCTTGTTTAACATAAAAAAGAATTGCTTTAAATATTATGGAAATGTTACTTGTTACTTTTAGAAACGTCTACAGCCACACCAGACGATTTAGCTTTAATTATGTACACTAGTGGGACAACTGGAGTCCCAAAAGGAGTGATGATGACAAATCAAAATATTGTGGCTGCTTTGGCTGGAATAGGACCCGGAGTGGAAGTCGTCACGGAAAAGGACACGATGATTTCGTTCCTGCCATTAGCACATATTTTTGAGCTACTGACAGAAATGATTTGCTTGGTGAGTGAATAGTCTATATTTAGTGCCTGCATCTTAGACTAGCTCTAGGGTTTTTATGATTTGTTTAAAAATAGTGGGACCCACTAGTAAAATGCGTTAGGACACCTGAACTCTGGTCACATATGATTAAAAAGACAACCTCTATTTTTTTAAAATATTAGAACGTTGATGTACAACCAAATTTTTTACCCTGTTACATGGCTTAGAATTTTTCTAACAGAAAATTTTTGACGTCTAGAATTCTGTAGGTTCACGGGACACGTTTAGGATATTCGAGCACTCTTACTTTTCATGATCGTGGTACTAAAGTTCTGCCGGGCACTCGTGGTGATTGTTATGCGTTGAACCCGACCTTGATGGCTGGAGTTCCGGTATGCATTCTACTTTTCCACTTTTTGCTGGAGTGCAAGTGAATAATAGAATAATGTAAAGATAATAACTGAAAAAAGAATCCAATCACTGTGAAGTATATTTAATATTAGGTTATATGGGATAGGATATTTAAAGCTGTTAGTGAAGAGATTTCGCAAACTCCTCGATTTATTCAAGAATTGTTCAAACTAAATTACGAGAGAAAGAGAGCTCGTTTTGAAAGCGGATACTCTAGTCCTTTTCTGGATCGGTATTTTTTTTTTGCCTCTCTTCGCTTACCCACTTATCAGTTTTTCTACTTTTTGGGTACATTATCATCTACCTCTTTTCAGAATTGTTTTCAAAAAGATTCGAAAGTTACTTGGAGGCAAAATAAAAGCTGTAATTAGCGGTGGAGCAACTTTAAATGCTGAAACACATAGATTTCTAAACATCTGCATATGCCCAACAGTTCTTCAAGGATATGGATTAACAGAAATTTGTGCTGCTGGGGCAATTTCTGATCGTAAGGGATAATGAAAAGCAATTTTTTCTTATAAAAAGACGCTGTTGAAAAAATGAAGTTTATAACAGTTTTTTACTTTTTGAAACTGACATTTATAACACAAAAGAATAAAGTGTAATTTTCTTAGAATATGATTTAAGTACCGGTACTGTTGGGCCTCCACTACGATGTTCACAGTTTATTTTAGAGAAGTGGGAAGAAGGTAGAGGTGTTCTCTTTATTCCTCTTTTCTTTAAAAAAAAACTGCACCTTTTTTTATGTGAAAACTGTGAATATAGAACTGTCTATATCTTTTCCAGGAGGTTACAGTCCTGAAAATAACCCGCCACAGGGTGAAATTCTGATTGGCGGCAACAGTGTGTCGATAGGGTATTGGAAACAGCCGGAAAAAACGGCTGAAAGTTTTGTGGTCATTGATGGTGTTCGTTACTTCAGAACCGGTGATATTGGTCAGATGAGGGATGACGGTTCACTGATGATTATAGGTTATTTTCATTCCTTTAGCCAAAATTTTAAAAGATAGAGAGGAAAGGTGTTACGGATCACAATTTGTGATCTCTTGCCAGTACCCTAAATGTTTAATTCTGTATTTTCTTCACCACTGTTGATGAGACCGAACTAGTATCGGTTTGACTGAACAGTAACGGTTTTGAAGTGAATTTTTTTAAATTTGCCAACACCATCAAAGCCTCTTTCACCCAAAAGATTACTTCTACGGATTTATAAAAAGCTTTAGATCGTAAAAAAGACCTTGTGAAGTTACGAGATGGTGAGTACATTGCATTGGCAAAGGTAGAAGTGGCTTTGTCAACATCTTCACTGATTGATATGATCTGCGTTTACGGTGATTCTCTGGAATTGTATTTAGTTGCTCTGATTGTTCCTAATAAACAGCATTTGGAAAAGCTGGCAAATGAGGTAATAGTTTCTGAAGACTTGTGGGTCAACGTGCATCAAAACCATAACGTGTTTTGAGGAATTTTCTGTAAATTTTTTAATAGGTTTTTTCCGTTAGTTTTTTATTTCAGGACCACAGGTTCTTAGACTTTTTCTAAAGAAATTCTATAAAGAATTAAGTTTTAGTGGGGAAAATATAGTGCTGTTGTTATTAGAAGTGCCAAAGGTTGGACAGTTGAAGTTGTTGAAGGGAGAACTTGAATCATTTGGCTGACTGTAATACTATTCTGGGGCTTTCTGACGCTTATAGTAGTCATAAATCTACTAATTGCAATAGAAAGTTTTTAAGCAAGAGTCTACCTTTAGATTGGGGAATCCACTGGGGCTTGGAGCGAATTATGCAGCAACAAACAAGTAATCGATGAATTTAAAGCTCGCCTTGATCAACACGCACTGAAGAGTACGTCAGTTTGTGCTTTAAAAAATTCAAGTTTTTTGAAGTGAGTTGGTATGAATAGAAACTTTTTTGCAAGCCTTCAGTAATAGTGGTTTTGTTCAAATATATAAATTATAAATATGGTTTATTGTCTCTGATTACTTTTTTGTTGCACTTTGTTTTTAAAGAGCATAAAAATTACATTACCTGCGTTGCTGAAGGCTTTGGAATTTAGATCGTTTGATGAAAAAAGAGGTTCCACGAAAAATACATTTATGCGATGAGATTTGGACACCAGAAAGTGGACTTTTGACAGAAGCTATGAAGATTAAACGTATTCCTGTCTTAAAGAAATATTGCAAAGTTATCGACCAGCTTTACGAGCGCTCACCAGGAATGCAGCGATAATAGTTGCAATGTCAACGCTGTTGTCAATTAATAATGAAAGTTAGGTTTCTCTATTCATTGATCAATTTTGTTCAGGTATCCTGGTAAATAAAATTAAAAAATGCTTTATATAAGTGGGCTAGGTGGGGGAGGGCTAGCATTAGGAATTATTTTT